AGCTATTGTGCCTGGCCTCAATTTTGTGTTTTTAGTAGAGATGGGGTTTCACCATGTTGGCTAGGCTGGCCTCAAGTGATCCGCCTGCCTCAGCCTCCCAAAGTGCTGGGATTACAGGTGTGAGGCACTGAGCTTAGCCCACCCAGAATCTTTGGAAGTGGGAGTGAGGAAGCTGTCTTAAACTGGCCACGTGGTTTTATGCACAGTAAAGTCTGAGACACACTGCATCAATCCCCACTCCATGTGTCTCCATCAATCCCTCTCCATACATCTCTTGGGTGGAATGGGTTGGGGAGGCAGACTGTCTTTGGCTGTGCACGTGCTAGATGGATGAACAGGACGAGATGGGAGCAGCACGATGTCTCCATGGGAATCAAGGGAATTTTCACAGAGGAGCTACTGGAACTGGGCTGAATAGGAGCCTGCCAGGCAGCATACAGGGTGGGCTCGTAGGTAGAGGGAACAGTGCCCATGTGAACAGGCAGGCCAGAGTGTTAAGAGAGAGAGGGATATGGGGCTTGGAGCAACCAAGTCTTAATGTGATGTTCTTAGGGTTTTATTCTGACTTTGGAGTGGTCTGTGCCTTTCTTAAAACATAGAGGTCACATGTGCTTTTCAAAAGATTGCTCTGGAGGTCTGTGGTGGCTACAAGGCGCGCACCATGGGTGATGGGTTAGCCGCATCATAGAGGATTTGTGGAGGGCTGGAGGAGGCCCGGTGTGGGCCTTTTGGATGCAGTTTTACCCGTACTTTCTTTCAGGGCTAAGCTTTCCATCAGGGATAGGCTTAATAGGTGAAGGGGTGTGGGGACTGATCAGAAGAGGGGCCAGAGGAAAAGAGGGGCTTCAAGGCTGCCTTGGAGCTTGGGTGCCAGTTCAGCTGTGTGACTCCCTTCATCCTGTAAAGGCTAGCGGAGGAGGAAGAGGTTGAAGGTCACTTGCTTGTTTTGGAAAAGACCTCTGCAGATATCCAGGTAACGTGTCTCCTCCCCCAGGCAGGTGGAAATATGAACCTACAAGCAGGGACTTGAGTGGCATCTGCAGGGAGGGGGAGGTGGGAAAAGCCGCAGGCGCCCCGGGGACTGGAATGCAGGGCAAGGACCAGAAGAGCTGGAGGTGGAATTCTGGGCATATCCATGGATATAGGAGGGGCAGCAGCAGGGAAGAAGTTTCCTAGAAAGGCAAGAAGACTTCCTTGACATGTTCCTGTCCATAAGAACCATGCACACCCACATGTGCATGTACCAGCAGGAAGCAGAATGCTAACCAAAGATAATTAACCCCCAACTCTGTGTTAGGGGTTGAGAAATACAATAGGAGCCCTGCCCCCTCCTCTCACTGCCCGACTGTCCACACTGAGAAGACCTGGCTAGGTGGCTTTGCTTCTTTTCCTGCTTAGCGCAGGAGTGAGGATTTCAGCCAGAAGGTCTTTCTGATGGCGGATGTGTAAGTGCCAGGCGTTGTGCTAGGTGTCTTCTGTGTCCTGTTTCATTCATTATTGTTCCTGCTCTGAGGACTTGCCTCAAGGTCACACCGTCTGAAAGTGGCAGTTTCAGTGTCGGTGTCAGGTCGGTTTGGGATACATATAAATATGTACATGTATATTTGAGATAGAGTCTTGCTCTGTTGTCCAGGCTGAAGTACAGTGAGCCGAGATCGTGCCACTGTACTTCAGCCTCCTGGGTTTAAGCAATTATTCTGCCTCAGTCTTCCGAGCAGCTGGGATTATAGGCTCCCACCATCACGCCTGGCTAATTTTTGTGTTTTTAGTAGAGATGGGTTTTACCATGTTGGCCAGGCTGGTCTCAAACTCCTGACCTCAAATGATCCACCCGCCTCAGCCTCTCAAAGTGCTGGGATTACAGGCATGAGCCACCATGCCTGGCCTTGGTCTGTACTTTTAACACATGGTGGCTACTGTGCCACCGTGCCTTTCCTGAAGTGTCATCAGAGAAGGGACAGAAATGAGACCATAGGCTTAATGTTAAGGGATCATGTGAGGCTTGGGGTATGGCTGTCTGATGAGACAGGTGCTTTTCTACTTATTTATTTTTTATTTTTATTTTTGAGACAGAGCCTAGCTCTGTCATCCAGGCTTGAGTGCAGTGGTGTGATCTTGGTTCACTGCAACCTCCACCTCCCAGGTTCAAGCGATTCCCCTGCCTCAGCCTCCCGAGTAGCTGAGATTGTAGGTGCCTGCCCATGCTTTACTACTTTGTAAGATGAAGAGAGCTGCCTCTGGCTGAGCACTGTCATTAGGGCTCAGGGTATGGAAGCATTTTGGGACCAGATGGTTCAGTTTCAGGACGGGAGATGACAGTGTGTTCATTTTACAGGATGGCAACTCTGCAAGGCCACTCTTGACCCTGAGATTGTGTCATGAAGGGCCAAGCGCATCCCATCCCATTCACCTCTTCACCTCCTTGTGAGCCCCCCACATGCCTTTTGATGAAAGGGTTTTCCCTAGAACAGCAAGCCCCAAGGAGCCCTGAAGGGCTGAAGATGTACCAGCGCTCTCTGCTACGTCCAGCAAGTGTATTTTCAGAAGGTGGGAGGCTCGGGTTGGGCTGGCCAGGCAGCCAGGCACACAGACTCCTCATTGTACATCTGAGCCGGGGCGTGCGGGGACTTCTACATAACTTGTAGCGCAAGTTTCTACTTCCTGGATGCTATATGATCTAACGACCTGTCGCTTTGGGAAATGCTTTCGGAACAAAAGTCTCAATTTTGAAGTTCTTGCTCAAGAAAGACTGCCCATATCTAGGAATTTATGCGCACAGAACTGATTCAAGACCTGCATCTTGGTGGTCCATTGGGACTTTTTTGCTCATGAAATATGAGGTTTTTTTTTTTTTTTTTTGGAGAACACTATCATCAACATTCAATATATAATTTTTAATGGTTACTATATTGGAAACATTAGCCATGATGCTGTCTGATCATCAGGGACGTGAGCCAATCTGGACTTTCTGGAGAAGTCCAGGTACTGCCGCAGAAGGAAATACAAGGACAGCCGAAAACATCAGATCACAAACGAGAGGCATGCTGACAAAGCAGGGAGTGTGGGTTTCCACTTTGGGTGGGGATATGGGGAGACACGGCGACTCCTCTTCAGCGAGTGCATTCTTAGGCTCTTCACTCTGTGTGCCTTTTTATTTTCTCGTGGGCAGCAACATAATTTCTTTCTAACGCGAAGAGCCATCCACCATGTTTCTCAAAGACAGACTCAAATGATATGGGGGGTGTGCCTAAATATATAATTTTTAATGGTTGCCATATTGGAGACATTAGCCATGATCCCATCTGATCCATGAGCCAGTCTGGAGTTTTTGGAGAAGTTCAGCTACCGCCGCAGAGGCGGCTGTTAGCTGTTGTTACCGCATCTGTGTTACCGACCAGGGAGGTTTCAGCTCCGACTTGAGTGTACCAGACACCCTGACAACTGGTTAGAGAGGACTGCAGCCTTTCAGCCTGCAGACTTACCGTTGTTTGTTGCTTTGACTTCTTTGTGTCCCCCTTTTTATGTTGGCAGTATTTCTCAAAGTATTTGATCTTTATGCTGTGCGGAGTATTTGTCCACGTTCCCTTAAAGAACACGTAGTACCTATACCTTATAAGGTCTCTGTTGGATGTGAGGAATTTCGGCTTCCTGCAAGCAGGTTCTTGTAGAGGGGAGGCTTTGAGGATGTCTGGACTGTAGCAGGCTGTCTTCGTTTGCGTGAACAGCCCTCACGGCAGGGCACACAAAGGTGGTTAGTTCTGACGTCATCGGTGGGACTCCACTGCCTTTATTTTTTAATTTTAATTTTTTTTTTTGAGATGGGATCTAGTTCTGTCACTCAGGCTGGAACGCAGTGGCACGATCTGGGCTCACTGCAACCTCCGCCTCCCAGGTTCAAGCGATTCTCCTGCCTCAGCTTTCCGAGTAGTGGGGACTACAGGCATGTGCTACCATGCCCAGCTACTTTTTGAGTTTTTAGTAGAGGTGGGGTTTCATTCATGTTGGCCAGGCTGGTCTTGAACTCCTGACCTCAGGTGATTCACCTGCCTTGACCTTCCAAAGTGCTGGGATTACATACGTGAGCCAACCGTGCCTGGCCTCCATTGCCTTTATTTCCTTCTGCTGATAAGTTCTGATGCCATCGAGGCCCAGACTGTGCTACAGGAAAGAGGGGGCTGGGCTCTTTCAGAACCCCTATCTTTCAGAAACGTCATCAATTACTAAAAAGCTGTGCTGTTTGTGCCGGATGTCTGTCTGTGCAGACTCCCTCTGTTTGAGATTGTAAGAGATAGCTCAGGAGGGCCGTGTATATGACACATCTCTCTTCTGTTCCTGTGGACAGAGAATTGGGTACTGAGCAATTAAGACTTCTCACTGGGACTGGGCATGGTCACTACAGGACATCTTCCAGACTAAGAGGGCCAGTGGGGGCTACTGGACCCGGGAGGACAGGGGCGGCCAGTTACTTGCCGTGTGCTTTGTGTGCAGTGACTATGCAGTGACATTTGCAGCTGGACTCTGCTTCTTCTGTAAAGACACTGGCAGCCCTACAGCCATGAAATTTAGTCTGTACAAGGTGGCGGGAGGTGTGGGAAGGCACCAGGAACCCAAGGCCATTTTACTGCCCTTCCCCCAGTGCTCCTGTTACAGTGCCTCTGGGAGTCCCAGCTGTGACTCCATTTAAGAGCAGGTACCTGCAGCCCACGACCCTGACTGTGAGTGTCTCCTGCCCTGCCTCTTCTCTCTGCCCCCTCCCTCTGTCTCTTCTCCCCTTTCCCTCTCTTTCTTCCTGTTCCCTTCCTCTTTCCTCTCCCTCCCTCTGTTTTTCTCCTTTCCTTTTCCTTCTCCCCATCTCTCCTCTCCTTCTCCGTCTCCTCTTTCTTCCCTCTCTTTCTTCCAGGGAAATTTGTTCAGGGATTTCTCTCTTTCTACCTTTCTTCCTCTTTCTGGAGGAATATATTTAGGGGTTGGACACCTGACTTTGGAGGAGGGAGAAATATCTGTGGGATGTGTCCAGGGTGACCCCACCACATCCTGGGAACTGGGGTGATCGAGACGGCGGAAAAGACACCATCCCTGGGAAACCTCAGAAAAGGCTTCATCTGTGCAAAGCAATGGAGTGAGCTTTGCCGTTGGTAGAAACTGCTTTCTTCTTCCTTAACAGTTTAAATCTGTTGTCCGTTCTCCGCGAAGTGATTGGCCGGGGCAAGACTCAGGTTTCCCATCTGTTCTCTGTTTGCATTTGGGCGCCATTTCAAAAACCACACGGGAAAAGTTTATAGGCAAACATTATAAAAAGTGACAGTCTGAAGTGCTGCTATCGCTGGTTTGGCAACGGAAAGTGTTACCTGAAATAGCTTACTGTTTCCAAGCCCTTCGCTGTTTCCACTGTCTCAAGACAATCCTCCCGCTGAGATGGGCGAGACGTCCAGCTGACTGTGTGCAGTGAAGTCACAGAAGCCACAGTCTTTTTGACTTTTACAAGATCTCCCCCTCTTGGGGCTATCTTCACACACCGCGAGGGTTTTTTTCTCTCTGTTTACTTACGGAGAGTAAATTCATGCAGCTTGTGGCTAGTGGCAATCTGTATGACATCACACCGAGAGGACATGACTTCTGCCAGGATCTGCTGAGGAGCTTGGAGAGTCAGGCAGCCCCTGCCTCGGTTTCTTTCTCTCCCCAGTCAGAGGTCCTACGAGCTCCCAAGGAATAACAGGATGATTTTCTTAGGGAAGGAAGGAGGCCAGGTCAAGGCAGGAATTACTCATAGAAAACGTGCAGATACCTGTTGTTATTCATATTATTTATTTGTTTGTTCTTTTGAGATGGAGTTTCGCTCATGTTGCCCAGGCTGGAGTACAATGGCACGGTCTCAGCTCGCTGCAACCTTCACCTTCGGGTTCAAGTGATTCGCCTGCCTCAGCCTCCCAAGTAGCTGGGATTACAGGCATATGCCACCACACTGGCTAATTTTTTATATTTAGTAGAGATAGGGTTTCACCACGTTGGTCAGGCTGGTCTCGAACCCCTAACCTCAGGTGATCCACCCGCCTTGGCATCCCAAAGTGCTGGGATTGTAGGCATGAGCCGCTGTGCCTGGCCCATTTATTTTTGGGTTAGCTGTATAAGTACCAATCTCTTTCATTTTTAAAGTATCACAACAGGTAATTTTTAAAAAAGAAGCTGCTTGTGGCTGGGTGCATTGGCTCACTTTGGGAGATTGAGGTGGGTGGATTGCCTGAGCTCAGGCGTTCAAGACCAGCCTGAGCCACATGGTGAAACCCCATCACTACTAAAATACAAAACAAAATTAGCCGGATGTGGTGGTATGCACCTGTAATCTGAGCAACCCATGAAGCTGAGGCAGGAGGATCGGTTGAACCTGGGAGGTGAAGGTTGCAGTGAGCTGAGGTCACACCATCGCACTCCAGCCTGGATGAGAGAGTGGGACTCCGTCTCAAAAAAAGAAAGAAACTGCTTGATAACATGGTGTTGGTACTTCCCAAGTGTTTGAAACTTGTGGGAGAAAATTCACATGGAAGCAACTGAGCCTTACCCAGCAGGGCTGTGTACGGTGGTGTGGCCACAGCAGTGGAAGCGAGAGTTGAGCTGTGTCCCAGGAAGGAGACGTGGTGCCTTGTTTGTTTAGCAGTTTTAGGAAACAGTGACAAAGAGTTAACACTAGTGTGAAGCTTGCTTGCTTCCTTTTGAATTTTAATTCATATTGTGAAAAATACATGGAAACGTATTTTCTGTCTGTGGAAGACTCCGAAAGAGCATTTGTGCATAGCAAAGCAGCTTCTAGAACCTTCTCCCCATTGTGTTTTGGCAGGAGATGAGGGACAGGTTGGGCTGTGCGCTCCCAGTGGAAAGGTGAAAGTGTGCCACAGCTCTGGAAAAAAGTAAATCCAGGAGACGTTTATATGACTATCAAAGGAAGTATGTACATTTCCTGGGGAATTCTTTGCCCTTTCACAGAGCAGGCTGTACAGCCTGGTGGAGTCAGGGAGAGGTGGTCCATCCATGGAGGGTGGCCAGAGTTAGGGAGGCCCCTTTGCGCGTGCAGGCACAGAGGGGATTCACTGATTGTCCTGGCTCCATACAGAATGGGGCCAGTACAACTGTGGAGATGGACGTGGAGGGCTCGGGGACCACATGTTTGCAGGGAGTGGGCAGTGGGTCAGGTCACCTGCAGCACTCAAACCCAGAAGAGAAGCTGAGCCCTGAGGACGGCAAAAGGACCCAAGGACATGGGAAGGGACAGAGCTGCTTCCACTGAGCCAGCTGTTAAGGAGCTTGCGTCCTTGGTCCCCTGGCCGGGGTTGTCTTTCATGTGTGCCATGTGTGCTGGGTCCTGAAGGCTGGGCTTGAGGGGGCTGCTGGGTGGCCTGGGAGGCTACTGGTATGGCATTTGGCCCCTCCCCATCTTGTGGCCCCGCCTCACCTCTGCCTCTCTTCTTACTTATATCCTTCTCTGTTTATTGCTTCTCCCTGGCCTCTTTCTCTCTCTCTTTTGTGTTTATTCGCACATTCTCCCTAGCAAGTGCTTGAGGTCTTCTGGGTACCCAGGGATATCACTGGTGTGTTTACCAAAGGCCCTCCTGATCCCCAAGATGGGCCCTTTGTGAAATGACCACTGAAGGGATGTGGGGAGGAGTCCTTGCTTCCTCAGTTTACCAAGACAGCAGTTACTGGTTTGAGACTTTGAAACCAGGATGGCTTGATTTTTATGGATAAACATTATTATCTCATTGGTGTATTTTTGGGGGTGCTATTTTGCTATCCTTGGAGCTTGGACATCTGGATGAGAGTTTTGGTCTGGTTTTACTGGGACAAAAGCAATTTTAGTACGTCAAGTCATCTTAACCGTCCATTGAGATGGGACTCATGTAAAATCATTTTGTATCTGGAAATTGAAGTCCAAGTGTTCCAGCCAGGTGTGGTGGCTTATGCCTGTAATCCCAGCACTTTGGGAGGCCGAGGTGGGTGGATCATCTGAGGTCAGGAGTTTGAGACCAGCCTGGCCAACACAGCGAAACCCTGTCTGTAGTAAAAATACAGAAAAATTAGTTGGTTGTGGTGGTGCGTGCTTATAGTCTCAGCTACTCGGGGTGCTGAGGCAGGAGAATTGCTTGAACCTGGGTGGTGGACGTTACAGTGAGCTGCGATTGTGCCACTGCACTCCAGCCTGGGCAACAGTGAGGCTCCATCTCAATTAAAAAAAAAAAAAAAAAAAAAAGAAATCCAAGCGTTCTGTGATTATCCTCTGAAAATCATGGTGCTTAAAAAAAATCATGGCAAGCTTCTTCCGCCTTGAAGAAGAACAGTGATAGTGACAGTCGTTGGCTCAACATGATGTGGTAAAGATGCGGTTCGCCTTCATTGGCTTATTGGAGTCTCACCAATAATAAACCAGTATTTGGGAACTCTTACCCTGCACCAGAGGGGAATGCCAGGCCGAGAGGTTAAGCAGGCACGGAGAGGCGTGGAACTCAGGGCTTCATCCTCTTCTCGTCCAGGACAGCACCCTGTGCATCTCCTGTGTCCAGCTCCGAATAAGACACAGGTCCTCCCTGTCCCCTGTTCTCCCTTCTAGAACAGCAGGTGTTAGTCCAGCAGCTCAGATACCTCCAGTTTCTGCAAGATTTTGGGGTTTATGGAGTTTAGGTGATGGAAAGGATTCTCAGTGAAAACACTTTCCTTTAAAATCAGAAATCATACATCGTAATTCCCCCTTTGCCAGGAGAGAGATTTTTCTGCATCACAATTGCAAATGCCTTGCTTATCTTTCATTTTTCCCTAATGCAGTCTTAGAGCATTCCACTGCATGACATAGGGACATGGTTGCACCTTATCTGAGGGTCAGGATGGAGCAGATTGGTGCGTGGGTCCCAGCTGCCTCCCCTGTAGGGGAGGGAAGCTTTGCTGCTGCTGCTTAGAAGCTGCCCTGGTGACCGATTCTGGCTAAGAGGAAAGTACATTCCATAACATTCTTGGTGACTTGCTGGTCATGTGATGTTGTCATAATGGACACTGATCGTTTTATGACCCAGACTAATGCAATGTAAATTCATTCTAGCATGGTGGGTGCTGTTTCAGTAATGAGTTGTTGGAGACCTGGGACTCGGAGGACATCTGGTCCTTGTCTTAGACAGCTGTAAAAAGGGTTGGGCCAGTAGCCTTTGGGGCCCCTTCAGTTTTCATGTTGAATGAATCTGTGACTAGGGTGTTGGGAGTGGGAGATGGGCTGAGAGTTGGGGCCAGACTGAATCCCTGCCCGCTTCTCCTCCTCCTCATATTTCTCTTCCTTTCTTTTTTCTGTTTGGTCTCCATAGTTTAAAGTATTTCTGTCAGTCACTCAATTGAGCTGCATTTTGATTTAACCAGCCTTGAGGGACCTGCTCTGAGAGCCTTCCAGCTAAGTTCCTGGCATCTTTTAAACTTCACGTTGTCCTTCACTTCTGAGCTCAAATGTCTGTTCTTTGCAGAAGTCTCTCTGATCACCTTATACATCAGGGATTAAAACACTTTGTAAAGGCAAGACTGCAAATATTGTGGGCCTTGCAGGCCACAGGGTCTCTGTCGCAACGACTGAACTCTGCCCTTGTGACACACAAAAGTAGCCGCCAGACAATAAGGAATGGGTATGGCTGTGTCCCAATAAGGGTTTGTTTACAAAAACAAGCTGTGGCTGGCTTGGCCCTCAGGCCATCATCCGCCACGTCCTGCCAAGGGACCAGCCCTCCCGCACCACTGTGAATGCGCGGGTACCTTGCTTTGTCCTTCCTGACACTTACGCACACTGTGTTTTTTGTCAATTTTGTATTTATTGCCTGTCACCGTCACCATAATGGATGCTCCAAACAAGTGCAGAGTCTTTGACTTGTCTCTACCTGCTTCTGGAGCTTCCAGAATAGGTTGGTGTGCAGTGAGCAACTGTTGAGTGAGGAAACAAAGGCTGAAAACATAACCGGCCCATCAGCTGGGCCTTCCTGGCTTGCTTTTGGGGTGTGTTTGTCCATGTTGCATTGAGCTTCTGTTTTCCTCCTTTTGTTGGGATTCTCTCTGTGTGTTCACACGTTAGCTGGCACCTGGGCCTTGGCTTGCATGCCTTTGGTGCTGCCCCTTTGGGAAGCCCTGGGCCTCCTGTGTGGCTGTAGATGGTGGTGGTGAGGGGGGATGTCTCGTCCCAGATGCATGTGGCCCTTGCTGCTTTCACAGTGGGACTGAAACAGAGATTGACTTGATTTCAATCTCCTGTGGGAGATTTGTCCTTCTGAGGGGGGTCTAGGCAAAACAGTTGCCTTTGATCCTGCCCAGATTTGTTGCTGTCCCAGTGCTGGGAAGCTTTGCATTTTCCAGGTCTGGGACTCTGGGTTCCATTCACGCTTCTCACTGGAGGGCCAAAAGCCCGATTCGTGGGCCCTCGTGGGTGGCCACCGCAGCCAGCAGCTCCGGCTCTTGTTGCTAATAAACGCCAATGGCTTCCTCTCAGCTCCAGTGGAGAGGTTGTGTGGGTTGGCTTCTTGTGGTCCCATCCTGTGCTCATATCTGGGGACTGTGACCTTGTTCAACATGGCCCTGTGTGTGCCAAGCAGGATGGAGTCAGCGGGGGCACAGTGGGGGGAGGCACAGAGAAGCCTGAGACCCACACTTTTCCTCTAGGGTCTTGGTATCTCCCTGGGGAGATGGGATGCCTTCATGAGAATATGGCGCATCTGGTGAGCTGGCGAAGTGGGCGGATGTACGGTGGAAGGGGAGGGAGCCACTGCGTTTCCACCTGGGGGGGGTGACTGATTCAGGGTGACCCCCATCACAGAGGGCCCTGCTTGATTTGGGCCTTGGAGCGTGGGTGACAGGGAAGAGAGGGAGGAAGGACTATCTATTCCCACGGAAGAAGTCTGGGACGTGTGTGGTGGGAGTTGTGAGCAGGGTGGGACTCAGCTTTGTCGTGTGGACTTGGGCACACAGCACCCAGTGGCTTCATTTCAGGACCCTGTAAGTGCAGTGGAGGCCGCCTTGCAGCTGTCTGGGTGTTTTTGGTGTTAAGGCCTCTGGGCTTGTATCGTTCTGAGGAAAACAGCATGTCTCAGCTCACCCAGCACAGAATTAGGTCTCTAGACCCTCAAAATACTGATCTGAATCTGAGAGCTCATGAAAACTCTGGGTGGCAAAAAATCTCATAGAGGGATCCATTAGTTTTCCTTGAGTTTGAGACATTTCCTTTTAAGAAGCTTGGCCTTGGGGCAACAGACCAGGTCTAGCACAAATAAATAATTAAGAGCGTACGTGTGTGTGACACACAGTCGCACTTAACGTGCAAACGTGTAAAACTCGGCATTGTTACAAATAAAACATACGACAATAACATTTTCTCAGGTATCGTGGTGCAAGCACACTTTGGCAATGAATTTAAACATTTTCTTGTGAAATAGCTTTCTGTGCTATGGTTTGGTTTGTTTCTAAAGTCCTGTAGGATGTGGAAACGAAGCCAGGATGGATTTGCTGGGGGTGTCCTCTGGTGGCTGATACTTCCTGGCTTCCTGGGGGCTTGGGGAGAGGTGGATGTCTGCTGGGGCCATTTGCAAAGCAAGAACAGCTTCTCCTGGGAATAAGCAGGCCTCCACTGACCTTTGTTGGACGTTCTCTCCTCTCCCTCCTTCCCATCTGTCTCCATCTTCTCTCTCCCACCTTTCTGCAGAGCCACCAACCAAATACCAAATCTCTCAACCAGAAGTGTACGTGGCTGCGCCAGGGGAGTCGCTAGAGGTGCGCTGCCTGTTGAAAGATGCCGCTGTGATCAGTTGGACTAAGGATGGGGTGCACTTGGGGCCCAACAATAGGACAGTGCTTATTGGGGAGTACTTGCAGATCAAGGGCGCCACGCCTAGGGACTCCGGCCTCTATGCTTGTACTGCCACTAGGACTGTAGACAGTGAAACTTGGTACTTCATGGTGAATGTCACAGGTGAGTTGGCCTGCAAGCACTGCGCTCTCTCTTCTCTGTCACCATTATCTGATTTACATTTTTTTTTTTGCAAGCACAAAGGTAATGAGATCTCTCATTGGATGCTAGGCACACAGCTTCACAGTTTTTCAAATTCTTCTTTGGGACCTGGTGCACCAGAAGGGCCGATCATTAAGAATGACAGAATTCTTGTACACAAAGTAACGCTTTTCTTAAGAGAGCACTCTTTTATTTAAGTAAATACATGCTCCTCCCACTCCAACTCCGTCCCACTGACATCTCTGGCATTTAGAAGATAGGACTGAAATTTGGATACTCAAGATTTCTGATTCGTTTATTAATGTTTGAGTTTCTCTCCTTGATTTCCTTCTCTGCAGTGAGTGGGACAGAACATGCCCTCTTTGTGGCCGAGTTTAAAGTTCTGCTTTCAGAAGATTAGTTGATGATGAGCTGGGCCACACTGGGACTCCGTTTTGTTAGAAATGAATTTCTTTCTTGAAGGGGACCCCAAATGCTGAAAGGTTCATGTTGGAAAAAGAGTCTTTGGGTACTACCCAATTGTTAAATTTGTCGGGGGCTTGAATACTGTTTGAAGCTTGAAATCCAGTTCTAGTACATCCAATTTTATAGCCCGTTTAAACAGCGTGAAAGCAGAAAACACCGAGAATCATAACAGACAACTGTCATCATGGAGGGAAATCTTAAGCCATTAAAATGATGTTAACTGAACACAGTCCCAGGCTCTTTGTGGGGGTTGTTGACTTTGCCATGGAGAAGGTCTCAGTTGTGGATAATTGCAACCTTTTTGCTTTGCAAAAGCACATCCATGCAATATGTTCTTTTGCATACAGATGCCATCTCATCTGGGGATGATGAGGATGACACCGATGGCGCGGAAGATTTTGTCAGTGAGAGCACTAACAACGAGAGTAAGTAACCGCCCAGCTCCGATGGTCCCTGAGAGAGGAGCGTGGAGGGAAGTCCTGCCTGTCACCTGTCTTCTTGTCGACTCTCCCGCGCCATGCTGCGTCCCGCGGCCCTTGCCTTTCCCCGCTGTGTCTTCTTTCCTGACTTTCAAACCTGAGAATAAACCAGTGTTGCTGCACAGCCTTCTCTCTCGTTTGTCCTTTCTTCTCGTGTCACTGGTCACTGGCTTTTCAAGGCAGTTACTACTTTTCTTTCCTTTTCCCTTTGGCTTCTCCCTGTTCAGAGACACAAAAACAGTAGAACCACGTAACGTGTTGGTTTTCTTTGTAATCACCGATCGTGCTTGGTTTAATCCAGTGGCGTGTGACTGGGGCCATTGCCTGTTCCTGCTCTCCTGGCACGTTGGGCTATATTTGGTTGTCACAGCAGGGGGTGAGGGGCTGGTGGCCTCTAGTTGGGCAGGGGCCAGGGATGCAGAGCACAGCCCCATAACAAAGAATTATCCGGTCCAAGATGTCAGTCGTCCCTAGGGCGAGAAACCCCGGCCTTCTACAACACACACCTCATGCTGAGTGGAAATGAAGGACGTGTGCCTGGCTTCATAGACCATGATTGAAAAGGGAGCAAGGCTGATTTGCTTAATGAAGGCCATGAACCCGGGAGAGGCCGTTTACTTGGTGAAGAAGAATAGGACATAGCATCTTGGAGATGGGCAGCCTGGGTTTGAATCTTGCTCCACAACTTCTGACTTGCTCATTTCACTTTAGTGCCTCAGTTTCTTTAACAAGAAACTGGGAGTATTATTATTTTATTAAAGTGGGAGTAATAATAATACTGTCTTCTGGGGTTATTAGGATTGAATGAGTTCATATTTGTACAGTGCTCAGAAGAGTGAGTGCTTGCAAATGTTTATTCAATAAAGAAAATACAATATAATATTACTTGCCTTTTCCAATGACATGGCTGGAATGTTCCTAAAGTGTTTGTACATAGGGCATTGGAGTTCTCTGTTTATGTCGTATATTCTACATTTTTTTAAAAAGGATTTTTTTTTAAAAGGATTTCAGTCAATTTAGTACATTTAAAGA